AAGTGCCCAGCGCCACAGGCACCGGGAGGCTCGCCAGGCGAGGCCGGGCGCGGGGCAGGCGCAGTGCGGGAGGCGGGCGTGGTCCCGCCGGCTGGGCGTCTCCACCTCTGTCTTTCCCACCCCCAAATCTCCGTCCTTGAGGGGCTCCCTCTCCTGGAGGTCGTATCCCGCCTGGCAGTTAATTCTTATGAACGCTCTTTACCGAGCACCTGAGCAGGTGTGTTATGGACCCTTTGCACGGATGGGGAAACTGAGGCTTGGAGAAGTGAAGGGTCCCGCCGGGGGGGGGGGTCCCCATAACATAAAGCAGTGGTGGGACCCCTGTTCCTGACTCCACTTAGAGCTGGGGGAGGGGTTAGTTACCCTCTTACCCCCGACGTTGATGTTCGGGTTGAGGTGGGCTCTCCTGGCTTCCAGAGCTCAGCCGAAGGTGCCCCGTGCTCAGTTAACTTTCTGTCTTAAAACAAGATTCCCCTGTATTGTCCTTCTGTTGTCCCTGGAATTTGTCTAAAACCCAAAGGAAACGGAAAGAAAATGAATAAAGACACAATGGACATAGATGCTTATGTGAGCAAGAGTCTGTGACAACTAAGTTGTCCAGGACCCTCCTCCAGAGGTTCTGTTCTCTCCCAGATCTCGCCTGGTCAGGAATTCTGATTAAATTGTTTCTGGCTCAGTGGAAAATGGGAAATGGGTTTGTGTGGGTTTGCATGGGGCTGGAGGCATTGAGGCTGGAGAGAATGATCCTCTGCAAATACGGTGTGTCTGCCACAAACCAGACAGTCCTAAATGTTAATGTGGAAGCTGCGGGGCCACCCTGGCCTCTTTTGCATTTATCCTTCAGGCCCCTGCTTAAAAATGTCACCTCTTCGGAGGCCTTCCCTGACTACCCAGTTGAAAGGATTCTGTTCATTTTTCTTTTGTATCTCAGCAAAACCGTGACATGGAGCTGGGGCAGGAGCCTGCTTATCCCAGTGCCGTTTCCACAGCGCTCCTTGATTACAAATTTCAAATCAGGTCCATTAGCGGTGTGCCTGCCAAGCTCTGCAAAACCAGTGTTTGAGCAGCTGGGTTCCGGAGCTAAGGGCCCCTTTCACATTTATCCTTCTGACATTTGATCCTGGTTAATTTGACTTGTACCAGCATGGCAATGGCTTCCTAAATGCCGTGTCCCTCCTGGGCTTGTTAGGGTTAACTAAGTAGATACAGCTAAAGGGCTTAGAAAAATAACCAGCACCTGGCACTGTGAGCTGCTGTGAGCTGTTGGGGGTTGGGGGAGTGGCAGCTTTTCCTTTCAGGTGTGGCCGTTAGAGACTTTGTCAGTCTAGCATCAGGCTCTCCTCCTGATTCTACTGCAGCCACAGGACTTTGAGATGCTCAATATTGCTGCTCTTGGGCCCTTTGAATGTGCTGGTCCCTCTGCCTGGAAAGTAATTTCCTAAGTTCTCAAGCCTCACGTTTGATTCCTTCTCACCCTCTAGAGATGGTTACATGTCACCTCTTCTGAGGGATCGTCTTTGCCCATCCTGTGGAATGCAGGCCCCCGTAACTCTCTAGGTCAGCAGCCTGTTGGCCATTGCACTTGCCACAGTTTGTAATATGTATGATTGTCTATTTAATTGTTTAATGCCTGTCTCTTCCTCTCAACTGTAAAATCGTGGCTCAGGCACTCACCACTCTTCCCTTCCCTACTATTGCAATAATTTACATATAGTACGTACTTAATAAATATCTGTTGAATGAATCACTCTAAGTCATTAACAAGAATATTGGACCAAAGCCCGATCACAGCTTTGGTTTCAGCAGTGATGCTGATCCCATGTCAGATCCTGATTTTTACCCCTCAGAGGTGGGGGTCGGGGGTGGAGTGGAGGACAGGAGAAATGAACAGGGGCTCTGGGTCTTTTGATACTTTCTCAGAAACAGGTCACAAAATAATTTGAAATTTTCTTCCCACCATCTTTCCCATTTGACCCCTTGCCCAACGTAGCACCCTCCGTAGTGGGCTGTGCACTCACGGTATGTATCCTTGGTCCCCCTGCTTTAGGACCCCAATGCTGACACTGAGTGGAATGACATCTTACGCAAGAAGGGCATCTTGCCCGCGAAGGAAAGTTTGAACGAATTGGAAAAGGAGACAGAAGAGGAAAAACAGCGAGGCCTTCAGCAGTCAGTTGGTGAGCTTGCTTTTATTCTGTTCTGTTCTGGGTCTGTCTGGATAGGAAACAGCTTTCTAAGCCTCTAACTGCTTTGGCGGAAGGATCCTCTGAGCATGAGTCAGGAGCCAGGGACTGAAGTGCTGGAGTGAACACTGTGGGACCAACACGTGAGTCACAGAATGTCTTTACCTTCGACTTCCTGGGCCATAGAATTTGGGGACTTCAGAGACCCCCTTCATTTCTACAGTTCCTTGTCTGTGCCAGATGAGCACATAATAATCCTGAGCTTTACTTTCTGGGCTGCGATTCACTTTGGATAATGTCATGGAGATTTTCTCAGAGTTTATAGTGTATATATTCTCCTGAGTTTATACTTTATTCTCTTTGTGCTTTGATTGGAAATATTTAAATAACTTAATTTGGGGAAGCATAAGATGCTTGCAATGTATGGGATCTGAGAGGGGGTTTCTCAAACATAGCTGTACTACCTGAATTGGAATCCTTGGGGTGCTTGTAAAAACTCAGTTCCTACTGAATCAGAATCTCTGGGGGTGAGGCCCAAGAGTCTGCATTTTAAACAAGTGCCTCAAAGGATTTCTGACTCACACCAGAGTCTGAGAACTACTGATCACAGAGGCCAGTACTTTTTGTCCCCTCTTTACATGTTAGAGCTAATTTAGAGGATTTATTACAAAGCATTTATACAGTGAGTGGTTATTGAACGATTACTGTGTGTCGGGTGTTTTTCTAGACGGTGGGGCTTTAACCATGCACAGGCCAGACAAAAATCCATGTCCTCGTGGGACTTACACTGTAGTGAGAAACAGACAATAAACAATACATAGGTGAAATATAGGAAAATATGGCAGTGAAAGGGCCATAAGAGGTTGGAGGAGAGGTGAGTATAATTCTAGGTGGGGTTAGAGAGGACCTCACTAGGAATGATATTTGCGTAGATGTGAGGGAGGCAAACCGAGCTACTTTATCAAGTGAAAAGCATGTTGGAGAGTCTGCAAGGAAGCCAATATGATTGGGAGAGAGGAGTAGTAAGTTCAGAGGGGTATCTAGGCGTCCAACCATTTAGAACCCTGTAGCTTTTAGTTAGGGACCTTAATTTTATGTAATGAGTTAGAATTCTGGAGGTTTGAGCAGAGGAGTGATATGTGTCCTCCATGTTGACAACACCATCCTGTGGATGCCTTCCTGAGCATGGACAGTGGGGGGCAAGGCGGGAAGTAGGGAGACTAGTCTGTAAACTACTGCAGTAATTCAGGCAAGAGTTGGCTTGGACCAGTGTGGTGGTGGTGGTGGAAGTGGTGAGAAGTGATTGGATCTGGATATATTTTGAAGGTAGGGCCAACAGGATTTGCTGATGGTCTGATCTTGTGAAGGGTGTGAGAGAAAAAAGTCTAGGATGACTGCAAGGTTTTGGGCTTGAGCCACCAGAAGGATGGAGTTACCCCAACTGAGATGAGGAAGGCTTGGAGAGCAAGTATGGAGGTGAGATCAGGAAGTCTGTTTGGGGCATAGTAACTGAGATTTGTATTAGACAAGTAAGTAGAGATGATAAGTAGGCATTGGGTATGTTTTTCTCCACATCAGAGAGTGTGGGCTGGAGGCATAAGTTTGGGAGTTGTCCGCATACTGATAATATTTAAAGTCATGAAATACAGTCACCAAGGGAGTGGATACAAATGAAGAAGGAAAGGAATCCGACCAGCAAAGGGTCCAAAGGAGGGCAGTCTTAGCTTTGGGAGAAGAGGAGGGAGGAGGCGTCCTGGGAGCCAGAGGAGGGCAGTCTTTCACAGAGGGGGCGGCGATGGGTTGGATCACATGCTGCTCATCAGTCAAGAAATGCAGGTCATTGTTGACCGTGATAAGAGCAGTGCTTTATAGTGATGGGGTGGGTGTCAGGGACAAAAGCCTGCTTTCATGGCAAGAAGCAAGAATGCTTATGGCAGTAGAAACAAAAAAAACATTTTATAGCAATTCCTTAAAAGAAAAGATCGAGCTGCCTGCTTGGCAGGAGAAAATACCAAGAGCCGGTGATAATCCCTGTAACTGTAGGAAGGGTGTGCTCACTGTGGCAGGCCCCCCACTGGTCTCCCTCCATCTCCTGGGAGACAGGACAGCTGTGACACACCCGCCCACTAGCGTATGCACTTGATGATCTGACCAGGTGAGTTCAGGCAGATACGCTCTTTGCTCTATAAACTTGGGAAACTTCTCATTCATACCCTTACTACAGCACGCACGTAAGAGAGTCAGGCCTGCAGATGCCAACACACTAGTTCTGTCTTTTTCAAACACCCTCCGCTTCTCTTTAGTGTGATACCTGGAGTACTTTGCATCCTGGTTTGGTGAGCTGGGAGTCTTGGGTGTTGCATGCACATCTGTAGGAAAAAAGTGAAGGAAAAAACCAAAATGCATGTTTGTTCATCCTTTACATTTTTTGGTTTCTGCTAACTGAATTACATTCAGTGAAAACATATGAAGATATGACTCTGGAGGAATTGGAGGACAATGAAGACGAGTTTACTGAGGAAGATGAGCGCGCTGTTGAAATGTACAGGTTAGTGCCGCCCAGACGGGCTCTTGGTTTTCTTGTGTGGCACTAAAACGTGTGTCCTTTGGAAAATGAATATTTTGACGGAGGTAACATTTGGGAAGGACCATAATTAAATAATAATATTTCCGATTTCAGCAAACGGGTCTTAGACTTTTGCCATGTGGCAAATAAATAAACCTGGACCTTTACAATGGTTGCTGTCTGAAAGGTGTATGTGTGTGTGCGTGTGTGTGTAAGTAACTCACTCCTCCTGTGTGCAGGCAGCAGAGACTGGCTGAGTGGAAAGCAGCTCAGCTGAGGAATAAGTTTGGAGAAGTCTTGGAGATCTCAGGAAAGGATTATGTTCAGGAAGTTACCAAAGCCGGAGAGGGTTTGTGGGTAATCTTGCACCTTTACAAACAAGGGTGAGTGATCGTATGCTCTGTCTTTAAATGCTCATTTGAATTTACATCTTGAACCTCTTGGGTTTAGTACACATTGGAGGGTGCTTTATGTGTTTTTGTGGCTGATTTGCCCAGACCTTAATTTGGGCAACCTAATTTTTATCTTAAGGCTCTCAAATTAATATTTGTGACTAACACAGATGCCTTTATTATGGTGTAGCAATAAAGATTTTGCTTTTATTGAAAATAAATACCTCCCCTGGCCGGTTTGCTCAAGTGGTTAAAGCGTTGGACTACAGACTGAAGGGTCCTGGTTTGATTTGGCCAAGGACACGTATCTCAGTTGCAGGTTCAATCCGCGGCCCTGGTTGGGGCACACGTGAGGCAGCCAATCTATGTCTCTCTCTCTCTCTCTCTTCCACTCTCTTCCACTCTCTGAAAAGCAATGGAAAAAGTATCCTCAAGTGAGGATTAAAAAAAAAAAAAGAAGAAAGGAAATTCCTAAGTTATTTATTCCTCTAGAGAAACTCTGGGTTTTCAAAATCCGATGTAATGAACCACTCATAGGTGGCAAGGGTAACCTTTGTGATAATAGCCCACAGCAGGTGGTGCAGCATCCTCCTGTGTTTCTCACCTCCAGGTGTGTGTTCCGAGGAGTTTCTTTAGAGCAGGAAATGCTTTCTGACCTGCCTTGCACTTCTAAATCTTGAACATTCTGTCACGGAGAAGGCCGTCACAATTACCTTTTACATTGACGCTGTTTTCCGGCTTGTTGTCAGGTCAGATTAAATTGGACTTTGAGTACTTCCCTTTCCCTGAACATATCAGGAGGTTTTTTTAAAAATGTTAATTCATTTTGGCTGGAGTAGCAGAACCACTTGTGAGGTTTTACTCAGGGCAGAGGCTAATTGAGCTTTGTTCTGTGTAACTGCAGAATCACAATGGCTTCTTTCTACTTTGTAGGATTTCCCTCTCACCGTGGTTTCCTGTTTCTGTTTTATAGGATTCCCCTCTGTGCCCTGATAAACCAGCACTTCAGTGGACTTGCCAGGAAGTTTCCCAACGTCAAGTTTATCAAAGCCATTTCAACAACCTGCATACCCAATTATCCTGATAGGAATCTGCCCACAATATTTGTTTACCTTGAAGGCGATATCAAGGCTCAGTTCATTGGGCCTCTCGTGTTCGGTGGCATGAATCTGACAATAGATGGTAAGGGCCTCTTTGAGATGGTCCAGGGCACGTGAGGGGTGGCCTGTGCGTGGTAGAGATGGGAAGAAGCACATTGAATCTCTTGTCCTAGACCAGCCAATGGGGAAATACAGCTGTGCTCTAATTCTCAGTGAAAAGGACACAGCAGACTTTAAAATATATATATTTAATATTAATGTTTTATTTGTCTCTATATTTGAATGTTTTAAGTTGTAGCTTAAGATCACATCATTCATTTTTGTTTAATTTACATGAACATATTAGGACAGATGCATGTGTGTGTGTGTATGTAAATCATCTCTATAGAAATATTTTCTCAGTTGAATGTCTTAGCTTTCAAGTTAAATTAAAAGTTTATTTAATTCTTCCTTTTAATTCCTAATGGATGTCTTTTTATTTCTTTCTACCTAATGTGAAAGAGAGACTGAGGCCCAAGGGCTTCCTGCTAAGTCAAATTCTTTATCTCTTTATTGAAATAATGTGTCTAACTCTGCTTTAATAGTCTTTAAAAACATGTTAAAATATGATTGCATACTACTTTTTATAACTCTGTATAAGATATTCAACTAGGAAAAGTATAAACACACACATACATATATACACACGTATGTTACATAAGTTATTCATTATTCCAGTGTTCAGAGGCATACAGTATTTCAAACTGCATATATGTTTGTATCTTATTTCAGTCTCCCATGAGGGGAGAGAGGTATATGTACAATAGTAGTTATAGTCTTTATTTCTAGAACAAGTCTTATTTGAGGACTAGTGAACTTATTTAAACAATGACTGCATCAGACAAATGAACAGTAACATTAAATACATACACTTATATGTATGACTGTATGTGTGGATTTAAGTGTATTCTTGAGTCAAGAATCAGAAATCTTAAGTTTGGATTTTGTTCTGTTTTTAAGAAATTGGTTGAATTTTTGTAACATTTAACTGAGAAAACTGAAAGTACTGGTGTTATTCATCCCCATGAGCACTTTAAAGTGCTATGACTTCAGTAAAATTGATTGTCTGATTTTAATGGCAGGACCTAATGAACAGCATCATTTTAAACCAGGCTTTTTGTTGTGGAATCTCTCATCCGGTCCCTTAGTTCTGCCTGGACTCTCTCTGCCTGAGTTTGCTTCATAAGGTCTCACTGACGATGAGAGGGTGAAATACAGGAGCTGAGTCGTTAGTCACTGATTCTTCATTTTGTGGTACTTTTTTTTTTATTAGTTGGAACAAATGTATCACTTCAAGGATTTCGTCACACATTTAGGCTTTGACTCTAATAGAGATATTGAACATGAGGCTTAAGAATTTCTTTTTGTTGCCCGGCCGGCATGGCCCAGCGGTTGAGCATCGACCTAGGATCCAGGAGATTGAGGTTCGATTCGCGGTCAGGGCACATGCCCGGGTTGCGGGCTCAATCCCCAGCGGGGGGCATGCAGGAGGCATGCATCACTCTCTAATCATTGATGTTTCCATCTCTCTCTCTCCCTCTCTGTGAAATCAATAAAAATATATTTAAAAAATTAAAAAAATAATTTCCTTTTGTTAACTAAAATAGAATTTAATGATTAGATAGCCAGCAGGACTATGAAAGGTATTTCCTTCAGATGTTTCATGCTGATTTCTTTACTGGGAAATTGTGCAGTCTGAGAAACTGAAGTTGGTAGGAGATGATTTTAGTCTCTCTTAATTACCACATAGGTCCCAGTGTACGTAATATCTCATCCGATCTCATTTTCTGGAAAAGTGTTCGAAAGCATTTTTGTTTTCCTTCTTCAAGGTCTGATTTTTTTCTCCTTTCTTCTAGATACCTTATAATTGTGGCACTACAATTAAATTATCAAATGTTGATGATTGTAGTTTCTGCATAGAAAACAACTGACTTGGTGGACTTGAGGGTGAGGCCTGTGCAGACTGTCTTAGGTGATTAGCTTTTTCTTTATCGCTTAGAGTTGGAGTGGAAATTGTCTGAATCTGGAGCAATCAAGACAGACCTGGAGGAAAACCCTAAGAAGCCAATTGAAGACGCCTTGCTGTCCTCGGTGCGTAGCTCCATCCCCATGAGCAGGGGCAGCGACTCGGAGGATGACTGAGACTGCGCCATTAACGTGATGCGCGTCCTTGATGTGACAGATCATCTGGATTTTTTTAAAAAAGGAAAAAAGTAGGACTGAATCCTTTGGAAGCCTTTTCTAATTATGTTTCAAATCTCATAGATCTCAGGAATAATCATTGCTGGGAATCCTATTGAATTTCTTAGAACTCTTTTTAAATTAATAGCATTTTCTTAATAAAAACCAGCTGTTGGTATGGCACATGTCTCTGTTTTCCTCACTTACGGTTTAAGGAAGCTGTAAAACTATTCTCTATTCATATATTGCTACATAAAAAGGAGTATTGAGTTTTTTTAATAGTATGAATAATTTATACAATGGGAAAATGGCAAACTAAGCTTTGCAGTTACATTATTTTTTATTTTTTAATAAATGTAGCAATAGGATTAATAACTCAAAGGAATGATTGATAGGAAAAAAATTTATCATGTTTAGAAGAATAGGCAATGATTTCTATAAAATACACATTGTCTTAAAACAGTAACTGAAAGATCTCAGTTTACTGCCACTTGGGTTAAATTTTTTTCCAGTTAAAGTAATGTTTTGTCTCAAACTGTTGAGATATCAGTTAATCTCAATTACTGCAAAGGGCTACCTTAATTTTTTTTTAAATAAACATATAAGCATGCACATAGATAAACAGAATCTCAATTAATAAAAAACACATCAAGGTATTTTTCTGCGTAGAATCCTCTTAGCATTTATCACTTCTTATCAAATCAACATTAACAGAATAATTAAGGGAAATATTATTCCCTAATATTTGTGTTGAATGATGTAGTATTTAATGCTGGTTTGAATCTTAAAAATAGGAATCAGAGAGGGCACAGAGTTCCTTCAGATTATACTGTAAAATCTATTTTTGCTGTAATTCAACAAATGACAAGCAGCTGTGACCCATTTTATCTTGTCAGAAGTGTCTGTGTTAGTGAATATTTGTTTTTCCAAACACACGAGAGCCAGTGCTGCTGATAAAAGGCTGCTCTATGTCACAGTTTACCTTGAAGGATACGTGAAATTTTCAGTGGGGGGTTGATACAAGCTGGGTCAGGTCTGTCACTTGGAGAGCTGCTTTCTTAGGTTTTCTGTTGTTAGCTGACACTGAAATGAAGTGCCGTGGGAGGAACACAGGTGAAGGCTTGAGCACGGCATCTCCCAAAGAGCTGCAATTCACACAGCTCCCAGGAAAAGAGAGAACTGTGCTCAGACGTTGGCATTGTCCGCAGTGATGGAGCCCATACTGGATGGAATTCTGAACATGTGCTGTGCCACTTAGAGCTGTGTAAGTGTGTAGACTGCCTCGTAATCTTGCCTCCAGGCCAGGCTAAGACACTTAGCTTGAGCTCAATGAAAGCTCAGGTGCCTGTGGACTTGACTCATGAGCCCCATCTGGCCACAAGGGCCCCAGTCCCCAGGCTGCTGTTTAGTCATGCTGACAGAATTTGATTTAAAAAGGGAAAGAGAGACCATCTATGGCCACACCACCCTGAATGTAGAACGCACCCGATCTTGTCTAAAAAGAGAGGAGCATGTCTATCCTAAAATTAGTATTGTGATTTAGAACCTGACCTGCAGATTTCTATAGGTTAATAATCCTGGGAGACTTTCCTATAATATTCACCATTAACTTCTTTCTGTTTCATTTGGAGCATTTGTGATGTGACAGAAGTGATACAACTTGGTGCCTGAGCACTGAGTTCATCTAATTCCTCAGCAGAAAAACGTAGTGAGCAGGGAAAACAGACAAGAATGGGACCGAGAGCCTGGCTTCGGGGAGAAGCGAAACTAAGACTAGTCAAATACAGTGGATTCTGCCTTACATTCCTTATTTGGAGGGGGAAAGAGATTCCGATAGACTGAGGACACCCTCTTCACTGCAAACCCAAGTTTACGTTCTCACTCGCCAAGGTGCGGACAGCTGTTCAGGCAGAGACCCTAACACCGTGGTTTCTGGGGCGTCAGAAGCACTTCAGAAAAGTACTGGATGGAAAGGCACTTCGTGAGAAACGTGAAAGGGCTGTTCAGGAGGGTGTCCTCTGTCACCAATGCCTAAATTTTTTCTATCATTTATTACCTCCAGCTTTCAATTCAGCTTTCTTATATAATGAGCCCAAATTTGGACAAAGTGCTTTTCAAGTGTGACAAGCTAAATATGTTGTGATTGTGTTTCCTACTTTAGAAACTTGGTTCAATGACGGTGATTTTGTCCTGCTTATGGAAACGAGTTACTCATAAATACTCCCTTTTGACAAGTGGCTTTCAACACGTATTCTTGATACTGTTCACATTCACACAGCAGATGGTCCAGGCCCTCTACCCTCTGTGCGCGGCCCCCCACTCAGCAACTCCACAGCAGACCTTGTCACTTGTGTGCTATGAGGACTCCCCCGGGCTTGGCCTCACCGCCCCACACCCGTCCGGTAGCCTTGTCTCCACTCTCTGTTCCTCAGTCTCCAATGAAGAGGTGCCTGCTGTCGCGGTCCAGACCCTCCTGTGCTTTTGACCCCCTTTCTTTCCTCTATGCTTTAGGACTTTGCTCCAGTAAATCATCTTGGTTTCAGCCTGTCCCTAGATGCCCAGCCTTCAGGCAGTGAAAGTGTTTGGGTCCTGTGGCAGGGACTTCTACTTGCCTACCAAGCATCCAGAATTCTCCAGTGCCGCTCAAGCAGCAGCGGGACCAGCTAAAGGTCAGCCTCCCTTGGAACTGCGGATTGCCAGGGGGCGGTGGGCAGAAGCCGGCTGGGAGTTCACCTGCCCATCGCCCAAAAAACCCCACCACAGTCATCCTAGCTTTCTACTCCCCACTTTTCAAATCGGATGACAAACAAGAGCATGTGCAGTCCCCACCTCTACTTCATCATTGCCTTTCGGTGACGTCAGGAGTCAGAATTTCGGACCTCCATCTCCAGCGTGTGAAGAACAGATCCTCCCAGGGGGTGTGGATGGAAAAGGCCACGTGCTGAACCTGGCGGGCTCAGGGCGGCCAGCCCCACAGACTCACAGGCTTCAAGTAACCACAAAAGATGGTCTGAAATGAAAACGTCCTAATCTTTTTGTATCTACGGTAACAAACCTTTGGAATGTCAGCGTAACTTCCTTTTTCCAGGACCCCTCATTGCACCAGAGCAGAGACCATAAAACCTGTGCATTGTTATTGTTGTATTGTTAACTGTAAACTATCCTGCACCCACCAATGTGAAAGTGGTTCGACTCCCAGGTCCGGGCATATATCCAGGTTGTGGGTTTATGTGTTTGTTTTATGCAATCCCAGAGATTTCCCTGCGTTGCTCTCTCCCGCCTCCCTAATCTATCACCAGTGGGTTTCAGGGAGCCCCCTCATGCCCCATCCTTTGATTATAATGTAGAAAGTGAGGTGCAAAACTGCCATCCTCTGGAGCATTTTTTCAACCTGTTGAGATTTTGCTTCCTGGCAATTGTCAGTTTGGCTCAAATACACTCATAAAAATTTGTACAGGTTTGGACATTTCTTACAACATTTACTTGGTGTATTGCGGCAGGATTCCACAGAAGCCCACCCAGGCCCACCTTGCAGACCCGGACCCATTCTAGGTACCAGCAGGGGCCCTTTGTGCCCCGATGGCCCCTCATTTTGCATTGGGTGAACTTGGGTGAGTTTCCCTTGGAATTTTAGAACTCCCTGTTTTAAGGTAAGAGGCCGACTTTATTTCAGCACTTTTTTTTTTTTTTTATTAAATCCTTGAAGTGGAGCTAAATGTAAACGATTGAGAGGACCCAGGCTAAATATAAGGGCGGAGATAACTAAGAACAGGAGGGGAAAAAATCAGCTTTGGTTTCTCATTTGGAATTGCTTTCTGAGAGCCTGAACAAAACTTTTTACTGTATAAGTAAGAGCCTGAACTCATTCGACTCTGAAGATAAGGGGCACTTCTCCCTCCAGCTCAAATCTCAGGTATCCTTAGGTGACTAAAAATCTTTGTGACAGTGTTAGAGGATATCCCTCACGAGGTGCAGGAGCCACGTAGGAAATTCCAACACAACTGTAATTAAATACTTGACTCTGGGGCTGTGCACATAAAGCTTGGTTACCTCGCGCTTGAGCCCTCACAGCTGTATTAGATTGTCAGAGAGAGAAACCAAGATATGTAAGAGGGGTGAATGAGACTTGAGAGGTGACAGCCCCTTGGAGCTCAACCCATAAGCAGCACACTTCAGCCCACCACCCAATATCCCTAGAAATTTGTTCAGACTCTTCAGATCTCAAAACTAAAATTAGCATGGGGAATCATGCCTCCAAAGCCAGAAATTCCCTGACCTCGGCCCCCATTAACATTCCTGCAAGTCTACAATAAACAGAAAGCCTTTACTTGCAAGTACTTGCAGAAATTGAAAGACTTAACTAGAAATGTTATCAACTTTATAATCTGAAACCTAATTATATTTTATTGTAATCAGTGACAATAGATTCATGCCATTTTTAAAACTGACGTAAAATATACATAATATAAAAATAAATATTTTAGCCCTGGCCAGCGTAGCTCAGTTGGCTGAATGTCATCCTGTGCAACGAAAGGTCGCTGGTTTGACTCCAGGTCTGGGCATGTAGCCAGGTTGTGGGTTCAGTCCCCCATCAGGGTGCGTACAGGAGGCAGCCAGTCGATGTTTCTTTCTCATATTGATGTTTCTCTCTCCTTTTTTCTTCCTCTCTATCTAAAATCAATAAAAACATTTTAAAAAAATTTACATAAAAATAAACATGTTAAACTATACAACTCAGTGGCTTTAGAATCTGAATAATGTACAGCCATTAGCTCTCTAATTCTTAAACATTTTCAACACCATAAAAGGAAGCCCCATAACTGGTAAACAGTACTTGCCAGTCTCCCCCGCCCCATCCCCTCACTACCCTAACCTCCTTCCTGTCTCTATGGCTGTGCTTTTTAATATACAGGTTATCCACATATTTCACTTCTAATTGACAGAGCTTTATTGAGCATTTGTTTTGTTTTACTCATGTTTTAGTTGTTCATTTGCCAGTGCTATGTTATTGCACCAATTTAATAAGAGTTTGTCTGTAGAAGGGAGGAAATCACTTTTATCTCAGGGACTCAATAAATTAGTGTATACATGTTTTATTGGTTAAAAGATTCTATGGCAATGAGATTTTGAAGTTCTTGTTTTTTTGGTTACTGCATAAATAACTGGCCTATATTTTATTTTAA